GATAATAAATAGATTTGAAAATATCCAAAAATAATAAATGAAACAAAAATATATATATAAATTACTAGAGTATTTATTAAAATAAGTCCAAAAATAATTCTATTTGTAATTTCATTTGGAGAGTTAGAGATGTAATTTAGCTAAATATCCTCTCTAACTCAAGCTCGCCCCTTTTCATCGAAACACGAACTTTATTATCTCAATTAGTTAATCAGTTAATTCATTTGGGCAGAAACATGTCAGCGGCTTAAAACATATACAAGAGTTGTGGGGGCAATAGAGAGTAATTTTTTTATAGCAATTCTTTAATTTTAGCGTGAATAATATGCCTTTAATCAAAATTGAGGAAAAAAATTAATATTTTATGTGAAAATCAAGTATAATATCACTTAATTGCTATATTAAAAACAAAAATATATGGAATTAGTGCTTATCCTCCTTATTTCTTAAAAATTAAGAAGAAAATTATTTCAAAATAGCGTAGTTTTAATAAAATATTATAAAAAAACAAAAAATATTATAATTCATGTTTAAAAAATAAGATATTTTAATTTTTTTTAATAAAGATTTATTGAAACGACGTAATTTTGATATAATTTTCCTCCTAATCTTTATAAGATAAGACGGACAAACATTATTTCCAAAATATATATATTGTACAATCACAACTATAAAAATAATATTACTTTCTTGATTTAGTTTTAATAGATTTAGTTTAATTTCTTAATTTTTTTTAGATATAAATTTTAAATCAATATTTAATAAAATAATATTTTAAATTTTAAATTAAATTTTCATTAAATAAAATGACATAATTTAAAGTTATAATTTAGACTATTTTTAGTAATAGAAACTATATGTACTTTTTTTCCATTTAATTAAAAAAAATTTCAAAAAAGAGGAGGCAAGACAAAGGAAAGAATATTGTATCTTCCCATTCTCCTCTCTTTTTTTTTTTTTTTCTCTCAAATCAAAATGTTGTTAACTGTTAAAATATCTCTTAAAAATAATGAAAAAAAGATCTAATATATAAGTCTCATATATATTTATATACTACATAAATTTTTTTTATTATTAACAATTAAAATTCATCATTATTTTTTAAAATGATAAATTAATTAACTTTAAAAAATAAAATAAAATAAAATAAATCATGACCATTTGTATAAAAGTTAAGTACACAATTTATGTGTAAGTTGATGCAACTAAAAAATAATAGCTTAAGAATGATTAATCTATTAACTATTAAGGTAATATCATTTTAGTCTATAAAGGTAGTTTTTTTAAATAATTTATAATTTTATAAAATATTTTTAAATAGTTTATTATACAAAATTTTTATTAGTTTTAATAGAAAAATACTAAAAAATTAAATTAAAATTAAAATAAAATGACTTAATCACAATAGCAT